CTGTCTGTCTGTCTGTCTGTCTGTCTGTCTGTCTGTCTCTCTTTTTCTCTCTGAGACATTAATGGAATTGGACGGTGTCGCAATCATGGCTCACAGCTGTTTGGGCGGCCGGCTGAAGTGAGGCATCTACGAAAATGGAACCCAAAGCAATACAGCCATTTCCTATGGATTCTGGGAGCACTCCATGCGCATTCCACGAGAAACAACCAAGCCAGTTATTTGTTTGATTTGTCCACTTCAAAGTTATTTGAAGCTGGTACAGCTCTGACGGTTCTCACCCATGCATCCACAGCTGTCACGCGCCTTGCTCTATAGTGTCTCATGATAGGCTTGACACAGGTTAGCCCAATGAACCCTGTTGACGCGGCTTGGCTGCAGTCCAAAGAGATGGAACAGTGAACATGGCCCCACCCAGGCCGATCGGCCTGCTTCTTCTCCATCTCCATGCGAGGCTCCCAGGCATCGGCCCGAGGGACCGGGACCCGCCTCAGGACCTGCGGTGTTCGGTGCACTCCAGGTGGTCGGATTGAAGGAAGCTGCACCCAACTCCCACCCTTCCAAAGTCTTCCAAAGTCTCAGTGTTTTTGCTGGTGAACAGTTTCGACTGAGCAGCCCATGACCTGCAGCATCCTGCAGCCCATGACCTGCAGCCAAACACCCCGTAGTTTTCGGCGCACCTCTGGATCACTCGCAAGATGTAGTGCAAGATCTGCTCCTGCGTGTCCAGTCTTCTCCAGCACTAGTCTCCCTCCCTCTTCCTCTCGCTCCCTTGTCTTCACACCCCATCATTATACCGAGACATGCCCAAAAAAACCTGTCCCCAATCCGAAGACCACCGGGTCGCCGTCCACCGGCCGAGCACCTCGGTGAAGTAGCTCCGTGCGAAGTCGCGTGCACGGGCCGCCTGGGCGGAGTCCGTGCGAAGTCTCGTGCCGACATCGGGGACGACGGAGAAACGGCAGAGAATACGGGTGTTTTGGGCGTGGGGTGGAAGAGGAGGTTGCCCAAGTATGTATGGTCATGGAGGATTTCTTGAGGGGAGGATGCTTAAAAAGTGTTGGTGTTGATGCCATTACTGCTACTACTGCTACTACCACTGCTACTGCTACCACTACCACTACTAATAATAACAACACCAACACCAACACCAACACCAACAACACCAACACCAACACCACCAACAACAACAACAACAACAACAACACCAACACCAACACCAACACCAACACCAACAACAACAACAACAACAACAACAACAACAACAACAACAACAACAACAACAACAAACATAGTAATCCTATTGGTATAAATATGTGTCCTTCTCTCCCTACTCTCACTCTCGCTGCAATTGCCATTGTTTCTTACCTTGGCTATCTCAATGATGTGTTCTTCATGACATCCATCTTCAGCAAGCTCATAATTTGGCTTTTGCACCATCACCCAGCATTTTCAGGTGCATCTCAGCTTGTGCAAGCTGCTCCGACCTCCGGTTTATCCCAACTGCTTGCTCTCCCAGCAGCCATTTGCCGACAAATTTCGTCATGGGCCCTCGCCCAGTGGAGCTTCTCAACCAAGTCACCTCGTTGGACGTTCGCGGGTGGTGAACGAGGGACGAAACGCTGGGGACGAGCGCAGGGACTCGGGTGGGGTTGGAAGGTCCAAGATGGCTCCGTCTCGGTACCTTCGATCGTGGAGATTCAGACGCGTCGGCGCGTGGAGATGCGGTGGAGACGCGCTGCGGAGACGTACCGTCTGTGTCTCTATTTCCGCTGTGGCGTTTAGCACCATAGAAAGTTCTGCAGGATGGTGGGGTTCCATGGCTATATAGATAATCTGTGGAACACATCAACCTAGACAAGAAGGGCTCATCATTGGCTTCGGGTCAAGACTGAAGACCCAGAATGATGAGCTTCTCAAGATCCGCAAGTGCCAGGAAAAGAGTTTTCTTTGGTTTGAAAGAATACGTAGGGATTTGACAAACAGCTGTACTTAGATTCCTTTGTATATATAATTACAAAAAAACAGACATGAACAATTCAAATAAAAAAAACGCTTGGGAGCTTACACCCAGCATGACCCAGTGATCTTCTTTCAGAAGCAGACCTCCTACTTCATCCCAACGAGGTCATCAAGAATTCTCATCCCTTCACCTCCCGCATCCGGCATGCACCCCACTCCGGCCAAATCTGCCCCCGTGTTCTGAGTGGCTCAAGTCCTCTTTGATGGGGACGAAGTGCACCATGGGTTCCAAGGCGGTAATTCCAAAGCCCAGTAACGGGGTGATCTGCTTGAAGACCTGGGGCACTGGTGGATGCTGGTGGCTGGGAGACGAAGAAAAGGAAGCTGTTACATGGTATGGGAACAAGAAGGACTAAATGCAACTGCTTGGAGGAGATGCGCTCTCCAAGCAGCAGCTACAACACAGTATTTCTAGTGATGCCATCGGTGCGTTTGAGCATTTTGGGAATCGTGTCTTTGTATGTCGGGAGTTCTAACAGTCATGAACTTTCAAGTACTTATAAAGTGTACTTCTTTGCAACTCAACGAGACGGTCATCAACGTGTCAAACGGCCATTTGGCATAATTTGGCTATCGTTTTGCTGAATCACAAAGCTCGTATCGGGTGGACACCCGAGTCGCAACCTTGTTTCCTCCGAGGATGTTGTCCTCAAATCCTAGGGGCCCATGATGGCCCACAACTCTTGGCAAACTTGCGGATCTTGCCCGAGCGTTTGCTTGTCTTCTGCAATGCTGCAAATCATCTGGTGGATAGACCAATGACCCACTGATGCAATGCTGCAGTTCTCTCTTACTCACCAATCATTCCACTAAGAACAGCCAAGAGTCTGTCGATTTCGCTCTCCGAGTCCCGTTTCACCTGGTCCTGTTTCACTCGTCTCCGCTTGGAGAAGCATCGGCGCGTTCTCCGAGTCTCCCGCGTCCCCCCGCAGTGCCGAACCGAGCGACTAAGGATCCGGTGGAGAGCATCCAGTAGATTCGTGTGTCGTCGATGGTGGAACCATCCTCGGAGCTCGCAGCCATGGGACGTGTTCTCTCGCGACGCGCCAAAGACCCCAGAGGTCGAGCCCCAAGATATGAAGGGGCTCAGGTCGGCATTCGTAGCAGTGTCACTAACTGTGAGCTTAACTTAGTAATATCACAAAAAAGGAAAAGCTCATCTTGTGACCAAGGACCACAAAAAAGAAAAAGAATCGTCCCAGCTTTGCAGAGACTCTGTGGAGATCAAGTACTTGTAGCGCATCTGCGCGCTGGGCTGCGTGTACTGTGCCACGTAGCCTCGCTCCTCTGCCCGCGCGCGGATCCTGAGGTCAGACCGACCGGGACGGGGATGGGGGGAGGGAATAAGGGCCAGGTGGTAAGGGTCGGTCGCTCTTCTCTGCAGAGGAAAAAGCGAAAAAACCACCAAAAAATGAACATATAGGTTGTAGAGGATGTAGAATGTACATGAATGTACTACTATAGGTTAGAACTACTAAGGATCCACATAAAACTACTATAGGTTGTAGAATGTTGTAGAGGAAAAGGGTCGAAACCACGCGTGGTTTCGAAGGAGAGTATCACGGTGCATGTTAGTAGATACTATACTCTTCACCAAACATGACGGCCCTGAGGATGCGATGTTTTCATCTGGGTGGGCAGACGGATGCGCTTACGGCACAGATGTGTCACTGGAAGACACCCGGGATACCAACCATAGCAGAGATCCTGGAAGCTCTCTGGGCTGGGAGGAGTGCACCAGTCGAGTCTTAGGTCTTGTCCGCCAGGCATCGTCTCATAGGACTCAGGGATGTAAGCCAGTTTGGCGTCCACCAACTGCCTGAGCCCGCTGGGCATTCAGCAAGTCCAGCCATGAAGTGCCTTATGTCTATTTGGCTTCCAGATGAACAACTCACCATCCAACAACAACTCACCATCGCTCACCCTTCACCATCCTCCCATGTGTTTCATGCACCACCCACCTCCATGGTCTTCTCCATCGCTTCCCCCCCCCCGGGATGAGCTCCAAGCAACGGATGCTGCCGGGAGAGTTCGCAAAGCCGCACCCGGTTGCAGAGCTCCAAGGTGCTCCCTCAAGCGCGAAGCACGCGCGAATTGAGGCGAGGAAGAGTCCGTGGGGCAGCGGGGGATGAACGTCCTCACAGTAGGGATCCCGAAACATGAACCAAACGAGCATAGAAAAGAAAAGAAACACCTTAGAGCCTTAGAGATCCCTATAGAGGAAGGTCGTCTTGGGGCTATGTTCCATCTACTATAAGTTCTGGGGGAATGGTCAGTCTCCCGCTTTTGTTGCCTAAATGATCATGCTGGCCAGCTTCCACTTGTAAGTGGAGGTGTAACATGCTACCGCAAGGCTACCAGGCACGGAACCAATGATGGTGGATTTTTCCCCCCCCCCACACTCCTACCAAGCTCATCACCTCCGTTACGCCCCCAACCCAAGCCGCACGCTGGGGGCTCCGGCCGTTCGTGATGTGCCGTATGCAGCCGCATGGGGCAGGCGGCTCGGAGCCTGCGGATCCACCTGGATCGGTCGCCGTGGGATCGGCCGGAAGCGAAGGGGAGCTCTGCCGTGGCAGAAGAGATCCGACACCGGATGCGCAGTACCCATGTGTGGTATGAGGAAATAGATGTACATAGTTACATAGTCACAGCCATCTCTGGTGGTGCATGTGCTGTCTTGCTTCACCAGCATGGTGCTCTAAAGACCTTCGTAACCTTGGGTTTACACACGTCCGTTATCTGTGTTTGTATCTTTGCAGAGTATGTGATGTTGTAGTGTGTACCAACGCACGACATTCGGTGGCGACTGTTTAAAAAAAAGTTGTCCAGATCGTGTGATGCCACAGCGGACATCATGGTTGGAACGGGTATGGGATATCTTTAAGGAAGGGTTCTACATGGTTCTAGAGTTCCTGCTTGGGTATCTCATACTAACATGATCATGCCTCACTGCTTGGGTGGAAGGAGAAGTCGAGATTCAATCGCCCAAGCATCGCGGCTCCCGACACAACCACGGAGGTCTGGTCGCCTCCATCCTCCAAGAGCTCCGTGAAGTTCCGCCAATGCGCGGGCCAGGTCGCGAAGCGATCGTGCCTGGAGGTGTTTTTCCGGTCGGCCTACAGAAGAATGGCGCCCAAGTCCACGGAGGGGTCAAGAATGAAGACAAACTGAAGTTGATGTATCAAAAGGAAAGTCTGTCAATTCTTGAGAGATTGCCAGTCTGCATGGTTTGCCACAACAATTGACCTCAAAGCCAAAGCCAAGCAAAAATTGGGGGCCCTATGGATGAATACTGATCCTGCTCACCTCCCGCGGCAGGTGCATCGGTTGAAGCTCCGCATGCCCCCACGCCAGAAGAGCTGGGGCTCCTGAAAAAGCAAAGATGGGTGTGTATGGAACTGGGAGAGATACCTTTTGTTTACGGGTCTTTGGGTCGTGTCCGTATTCTGATTCACGTCGGATTCGTTGCAGGGGCGTCATCGTGCCCGGCCCCACCAAATGCTTCAGGGTTCAGACACTACCAGCAGCATGAATCTGATGACTTTTTACACAAATCCCGGTGAGACCAAGCCTAAGCGTTCCAAGACCATGGAAAGAGGAGATTCCCTCTTGCATCACTCGATGCACACCTTGGAACTAGCTCCGAACGCTCCTTCTCATCCCATGGGATTGGCACCAAGTCTTGTCGGATCTGGTCCAGCAATGGGCCAATCAACCTCAGATGCGGCCCCCAGTCTTGAGTTGGATTGGATTCCGGCTCGCCATCAAGTCCAAGAAGACTCCCACCAACATCTGGGTCTCTAGTCACTGTAGTCACTCTTAGTCCGCATCAAGAAGTTCCTACACCCCACTAAGGGTCGTCAGGTTCAAGTATATATTTGTTTGTTGCTATTATAAATTGTTAATATAACCGTAGATATAATATATTGTGTGTGTAAAACCCATTGCCTTTTACTCAAACCCGAAGAACACGTTGCTCATCTCTCGAATGAGGAAGCCCAGAACCCACCGGAACAATCAGGTACCAAGACCCAACCTGCTTGAAAAGCCACACTAAACCATGGTCCGAAATTGTCTTACACAGCGATCGGCCTTGGAAGTCTTTCGCATATGAAAGAACACAAAAAACTAAAAACCCAGTAGATGAGACTGCGACCGATCATAAGTAAGTCATAAGTGCCCCGCCAAAGCAACCCTAGAACCACAGGAAAGAAGTTGGGCGGCCGGCAGCATATATTTCTCCAGCAGTGAGGGGGGGCCGAAACAAAGGAACATATAACATGGGTGGAACATCCCGCAGGTGGGGAGGCCATGGCCGTCCCCCCCTGTCGCAGACAGCGCAGAAACAGTTGGGGTGGAGTTTCATCACCAAGTCATGCAGAATTTTGATCAATTGGGATTCTAAAGCCTCTTCATAATGGGTGGCTTCATTAATCAAGATTCTACCTAGCCCTCTTCTAGCAGCACTCAAGTCCACGCACGATGCGTTGTAGGTGCTACACAGGGTCAAAACCGGCCCCTGATGTCCCCAAAAAATGAAACAATACGGGTGCCTCATGCAGTTGTCTAGGCTGGAGCCAAAGCCCGACTCACCGAGCGGCTCATACGAGGGCACCCTGAGCAGGTTCTGGGTGAAGACGTACCGGGCCTTCGTGAGCACCGGCATGGGCAAAGGGTCTTGATCCTGAGGACCGCAAAACACCGGTGTAGGCTGTGGGCACTCCCAGTTTCGGCACAAAACATAACTCCGATATGGAAGTGGAATGCCCTGCAGTGGTCTTTCAGGGTCATGTCCCTTGTTGGAAGAGCGGGATTGGATTGAATTTACTGCATTTTAGGGCATTCTGTAGCTTTTGGTGGATGTCACCGGTACCTGCATTTGAGCTCACACCCAAGTAAAATGCAACCGATTGGTGGCGTGTGTCCCAAAAATAGAGTCGCTGGTTTTTGGGGCCAGCTTGGCGGGCTGTTTGCTTTCAGTATATATATATATATACATGATATTAATTTTATGATTATATATCCGCCGACCCCTGCTTAGCCCTTGCCTAAGCGGGGCGGCGCCAG